TTTTACATGATCCCTGAGTTTGTTATTCAGTCTTTACTTAAATACGAGAAGAGTAGAAGTGATCAACTGTTTTTCAGAAAGCTATTTTGGGTTGGGGAGGTAGCTCAGTGGTAGAGTGCTTGTCTATCATGTTCAAGGCCCTGGGTTTCTCTCCAAAAAAAGAAAAAAAGAAAAAGAAAAAAGAAAAAAAAACCAACTTATGGGGAAAACAAATCCTTACATAATAAAGCCACCTCCTTTTCATGTCCTTGTTCTGTTGTGTCCTTGTTTCATTCTAAAATTGCCCTAGTGAACTTGAAATCTCAGAGTATTCTTTAACCTGTGTCATCCAACATTCATATTCCTAATTTTGTCTTCTTTACAGGTCAAACATCTTTCTGCATATTCACCAGCCAATGCATAGGTGATCCTAGTAAAATATGAAAGTCAGAATTGCAAAATATTATCTTCTCCTTCCATTTCAAGTTCAGCATCATTTCCCATAGATGTCTCCGACCTCTTTGTATGTGATCACACGAGTGATGAACTTTGTGTGACCACCCATGAACAGAGCAATAGCATCTTGATTGATAGGGCCACTCTCAACACTTTTTGGTGCAGCGTTCTGAAACAATTTCATTCCAATATTTTTTCAAGGAGGGAAAAGAGTATTCACGTTTTATAAACATTGAGAGTCAGAAATAAAGCAGAGGAGTCATAAACCTTCAGTGTTAACTTATCCTCATGAAATCGTTCATACAATCCATCCCTTTGACCTGCTTTTTTTTTTTCCCTTGAAATATGTCTAGGCTGGCAAAACTCTCTCTGATAACAAAAGCTCTTGAATTTTTTATTTCACATTCTCCCTTGGTCCTAACCAACTTCTGCTGTGGGATCTTAGGTAGGAGTTTTTTTTTTTTTCATGGAGGAACATTTTTAGTATGGAACAGTGATGTAAAATATCATTGAAGGCAATGGTGGAGAATTGTGGACTTGGAAAGCCTCTCTTATAGACATGTGAATCTGCAATTCCTAAAGACCTCAGTTCTGGCTGCAGTTCTCCTTTGCTATATGATCTATGCAAGTTGAATTCACTGCTTCAAGATTCAATTTATTCATCTAAATGTATTATCCATCTCCTGGGGTTGTATTGAAGCACAAAAGTGCCAAAAGGCATATTAAAATGCCAAACCACTAATTTTTAGAAAAACATTATGAAAATTGTTATTAAGAAATAATATAGATTGGTCGTTCCAACTATTTTATGTTAAAAGCTATATATGTGTTTCATTAAAGAGTTGAGAAAGAAGATAGTCTCAGTTTGGGCCACTATCAGAGGCTCCCATTTCACATGCCATTTGGCGCTAGAGGTTGAAGCTTAAAATTGGGAGAAAACCTAGATTATTACTTTTTTTCTTCTGTGGTTGTTTCCTTCTTTGTAATCGCCATGCTGGTAGCTGAAGCCAGGCGTTTTCCACAACCACCTCTCATTTACATTTACTTTGCTCCTAAATATCTTTTAGACAGAATTTTCTTCTGTGGTTATATAAGGTTACTCTTAACTTTAAGAATATCAAATCACAGTGCTTCATATATATAACAAACAGTAAGACAGATTTCTAATAGAATTTTCCTTGAGAATGCCGAAGAATGTGTCAAGATTTATATAATGCTGCCAGAAGTATTTTGAATGAAGTTACAGCTTTTTGTATGGTTTCTTTTTTGCGAGCTCTTAAATTCATGCTTAGTGGTTGTAAACTTTCAAATGATAACTCAAGTTCATTTCCCCCAATATTTTAAAGCTTCTCATGTACAAAATGATGATTTAAAGATGAAAAATCAAGGTTTTCATGAATTTTTTAAATGAAATCCTGCCACTCAACAAAGACATCTTTTTAAAAGATCATAACAGAAAATTACAGAATCTAAATCCATCCCTCTCAGACCCTATGTCCGGTCAGAACAATCTTAAAGATGGTCAAATACCCTCTGTTAAAATTCTCCCAGGGGCTGCTAGTTTAGAACTCTGTAAGGATGGCCAATGCATTATTTGGCAATTTTTAGCTCATTTCCTTTATATCTAATCAAGATCCAGTGCAAGTTCTGCTTCTTATTCCCTGTTTTGCCCTTAAGAGCTGGGATAAAGACGAGTTCCTAAGTCTCATGTAAAATATTAGTTTCAAACACATTTTTAAGAACATTTTAAAACTCTTAAGAAAAAGGAAATGCAAAATGTCATTATTTCTTTCCTAGTTAATTTTGTTTTTATAAGCCTAAAACACTGTTGGCCAATACAAATACAGCTTAGCCCTGAACTTCCAGGACATGCTAGGGGACCCTGGGTTTCTCCCACACAGCATTTTTCACATTGGAATTTGTCTCTCCCCCTTGGCTGCCAACTCCAATAAATCCTGAGTTTATCCATTGCATTCATTGTTTTTTCCTTCATACGTGGTGCCTGCATCAGAGTAAGTGACAAATTATTTTTTTAAATAAATGATTAAATACATGCGTGTGACTGATTTGTGAACATATAATTGCATGCATAAGGGAATCAGACAAGGAATCTATCCATCATGGACACACCATCTCATATTCAAGCTTCTACTTTAAAATAATTGATTTAATGCCCTAAGGATTATTCTACTTTCTTTTGGGGACCAGTTTAATAAATCTCATGTCCTGGGAGAATAAGTTGTCCAATGCACTATTCCTTGCTTATTTCTTTTCTAGGTTTCCCATTAAACTATGAGAGATGGCCCAAAATCCATGGATGGCCAGTAGAGCTACGATACATGTAGGACTCATGTGTCAAGGGGACATGTTGTCTATACCACTGTGTGTGGAAGCAACAGCTATGATTGTGAGCTCTCACAGGACAAGAAAGAAAGGTGCTGAGCCTCACGGATTATGTCCCACTATCAGGATTGTTGCAGGTCTATAGGATGACAAGGCCAGTGGACATGTACTTGTCCTTTGGGATACTTGCCTTAAAAGGAAATTTCATTTAGAGCCCTTCTGATCATAATATCTGGCGAAGATTTTGGCAGATGTGTGACAAAATTATTGTTGTAGCTGAGAAGCACTGAGGATTCAAAGGTGATTCTCCCGAGATGTGGGTAGAGGCTTTTGTATTAAATAAATGTTAAAGAGTAATCAGAGAGCTCATTTAATAGATGTTCTTCTATTTTTTCCTAAAATGAACATAATTTAGTTAAGTAGAGCAATTAGTAGTTTTATGATGAGCCATTTTAACAAAGAACTATTTTTTTATTTTTAAATAGCATAATTAAATAAAATATCATGCTGTTCTTAGTGATTTCATTAGCTACTCCTACTGGAACACAAACTGGTCAGACTCCAGACCATATCCAAGTTACTCCCCTTTCTTGCCAATAGCTTGCCCTAATCAAATACCATTAGGCAACCTATGGAGAGATAGTCCTGTAAACTCAGCCTTATAAAGTGGAGTGTGCATCACTATCTATTTGAGACCTTAAAATAGCAAAGACCAGCCTCAGGGCTCAGGCAAGTTCTGTGTTTTGTGGACATCAACATAAATAATTGTCAGACTCTTGGTCATGGATTTTATGACACAGCCAATAGTAAATGTCACATGTAACTGTAGTGATGTGGTGACAAGAACTAAGCTCAGCCATGTTGGAAACAAAAAATAAATGAAAATTCTGTTACCTTCTCTCTCTCTGCCTGTTGGTGTTAACTGTACATATACAGATGACTGTCATGCTCTTCAATTGTTTTCTATTTTTAAATCTATGAAATATATGTAGGTGTGTGTATACACATATATATTCAAATAAATATATTTCTGTATGCATGTGTGAATTTGTATATGCATATATGAGTATGTGAACAGGGTGTTTATGATGTAACATACAGGTATCCATGTTTATCAGCGTTAACAGCGTTTCTCTTTGGGGACTGAGACAGGACACCAGTACAGAGGGACAGATGCCTTGATACAGCAGGGATACCCCTCTGTGCTATTATAACTTCTTACAAACAGCATGTGCTACTGTCATAAATAAAAAAGAAATCTAAATATTGTTAATAAAATCAACTTGTCACAAAAATGAAACTGTTGCCCCACATTTTCTAAGACATGAATATCATGGGGATTCTAGTAATCACATTTCAGAAATCATTTACTCAAGGGATTGTTACCAGGTCCAAATGAAAAGCAACTACCTGTTGAGTCCCTTATAACACTCACAGATCTGCAGCAATTATGAAAGATATGCAGCAATGGAGCATAGAGGCTGTCCACCAGTCATGAGCAATCTCACAGCCGGGCATTCACCAGCTAAATTCCGTCTCAGAACTTGCAATAGTTTTCAGTCATGGCCTCTGTTGAAGTCACCAGAAATCTCAAAGCAAAATTCCAAGTTATGGTGCTTATTCCCTTCTTGGTTTAGCAATCCTGTTCTTTATCAAGTCCTTAAATGTGACAAAGCCCAGCTTGATTGTGCTGTATTCCATTAATGGCATAATACGGAAATATGAGGTTCCAAAAATGACTACCTTTAAGGTTATAGAAGGTTGTCTTTGAATAATTCTCCATTTTCTATCCCTTCAGCGGCCTAATCTAGAAGTGGAATCACAGAATGGCCGGTGCCACACACAAAGGATTAAACACAGGAATGTTGGCTAGCTAGGTGGCCACTTCTTGCAGAAGTGTCCCTGCAGGCTTTTTGTAATAGCATTTTTATAGGTACAGATTTTTGTCCAAATTATGGAGGCTTCAGACCAGGACCAGACTATTGGCTGGCCTGATGGCCCACTAAAGGGGGTACAAAATACCTAAGCTGAGAGGGAAATTCATAGACCATATGGCTTTAGCTCTTTCTAAAGCCCAAACTGTCACACACAGCAACCAAATTTAAAAAAAAAAAAAATGCCACAGGAGGTAGATTCAATATTGAAGCCAGTAAATATGTGGCTGTTCTGCTCACTTTTTTTTTAAACCCCAAATCCTGGAGGTGTTTGCTTTTTCAAAGAGATAGCTCACATAGTGCTCCCCATCAATGTTGTAGGACTCTAATGCTTTTTTTTTTTTTTTAAACAGTTTCCAGATGCACCAGGACCCTTCCAGTAGTCAGTACTTCATCAGTCTTCATACCAGGGGTTTATTTGTGTCTTCCATTGGAGCTGTTTGAATTGGCCCATGGCCACCTGGTGCCCTAAATTTTCTCTGGGATGCTTTAAAGCACTCACAGAGAAATCTGAGATGGTAACTGATGAAAATGGAGTCCTTTATCCCAACCGTGGCAGCTGGGTAACTGACTGCCTGGCCAAATGTCTGGCTCAATCCAGGGAATGGAAGGCACCATTCAAAGCCAGATACCAGTCTGTTTTAAGGATTATATTATATTTCTGTCATCACAATGTTTCCTTGACAGTCCCACCAACTAAAACACTCCCTGCAGAAGCCCAGTAATTAAACTCTCCTGGAGCATATATTTTTCCCCCCAGCTTCTGGAAACAATCTACTGCAACCCCTCCTTCTCTGACTGTAAAATCCAAGAGAGAGTTCCAGGTCTGAGGCTGATAGATGGAAATGGATTACTCATAGCCAACCCATTCTCCCACAGCTGGAAACGATGCCAACCATTTGGTTTTGAAGTGACTAAGGAGAAACTGTGCTAAATAAAATTCCCATCCACTGACAGGCTGTTCTGAACGAATACAGTATATTACATCCATACTTTAAAAATGATGATTTGGGACCAAGATGTGATTCAGACAAATAATGTGTCACCACTGGCCCTTCACATTAGAGAAATGATCATTAATGGTCACATGCAGAAACACTAGGGGAGCGTTTGGTTGTGTCCAGGAGCAAAATGGAGCAAGCTCAGAAGATACCAGATTTAGCCAAAATAAAACCCTTGGACACCTGCGTTTATTTTTGACTCACACCCAACTCAAGTAGATATTTGGACAGAAAGTTAGAAGACTTTTTCTCCTGATATTTTAGTTATCACAGAGTCCCCCACTACCAGACATTTCTGGCTAGACTCCCACATTGCCACAGCACCAAGAACTGCCTGCAGAGAAAGAAGTATATTAGACTACCCCATACTTGGAAATAGGATTCTCAGGTATGAGCTCAGAACCTGACAAGCAACAAACAAAGCATCCATCAGAAAGAGCCAGGCATTCTGGGAATCTGGCAGTGGGTGGGATTCCTTAAACAAGGCTTTGTCCTTGGGTCAAGACTTCCTGGAAATCATGAAAATGAACCCTAGAAGGAAAACCTTAAATGGACCCCCTCTCACAGCTGGATCCTAGAGTCTATGTTATTAGCTTCTGTGCAACATTCCAATGACTGTGTTCTTGCTCCAGTGTATTATCTTGACATATGTTGCTACTTCTGCTTTTGCTGACCCCCCACCCCAAGTCGATTAGGTTGCTTTCTATTATCACTCAACAAAGACTAGAACTAAACGTTGTTAGAGTGCTCCATTTCCTGTAACCACAGTTCCCACACCCTGCAATTTAAACAGCACTTGAAATTGAGTGGTTCTGCAAACTAGCTATGGGCCTTTGTTTAATCCTTTGCTCATCTCTATTGCAGCAAAAGGCAAAGATGGCTACACATAGGCAGTACGGAGCTGTACAAACAGCCCAAGCTGAACCCGTCCTGCACGGCTATCGGCAAACAGCCCAGCTGCCTGGGCCGACCCCTGGGTGACCTCTCTGAGGTACCTCTGAGCACAGACAGCTCCCATGCCACCTCACCAGGCCTCAGAGATTAGCCCACAAGTTGACATTATCCATGTGGCACTTTCCAGCTCCTATAGGATGAAACAGGAGGGGGAAGGGGAGGGCATGCAAAGAGTCACTAAGTAGTCTCGGTATCTTTAGTCTTGGAAATGGAAGTGGTTTTATAGTAATATTTCTGCAGAACAGCCAGAGGGGTTTTAAAAGACCTTCAGACAATCTTGTGGTCTTCAAAGACTGCATGGAAGGAAAGAGAAGAGATATCATATTTTTTTAAGTTGATGGTAATTACAGTAGAATTGTGTGGGACAGGGAAAAGATGGAAATGCATGGGGGAGGAGGGAGCAGTGCCTTTTATACAAACATCCTTTGAATCTGTAAAATAAATTATACAGGTGAACACAGAAGTTCATGCTACTTGCTGGAAGCAATAAGGATCAAATTTTGTGGAACTTGCATTCCACAAATCTCCAGGTAGCCTGCCTCCTTCTCCCTGGGCTATCACGTTCTGTTGTACATCTTGGTAGCCCTTAAAAACTGGTGGCATGGTCTCAGATAGATTCTTGCAGGAGACAGACAGATACATGGATTCCATCAGCTTCTTCCAGGGGAGCTGCCCAGCTGCCAGCAGGGCACAGGTGATTTGCTCACTCATCCTCTTGGCCCATCTACCAGGGTCAAACAGCAGTTTCCAGGTCCTCATGGCCAAGGATCTTATAGTTTTGGCGGCTTTCGAGGTAAGCAGCCAACTCTGGGTCCCCAGCCTGCTGTGCTCTGTCTTGAGGCGTCTTACCCTAGAGGTAGCAGTGAGAAGGAGAGAGATACAAACACTTGGAGTGAGACAAAATGCATATGTTATCAGAGAAACAGAGCTCCCCTCCACCCAGTGGGGAGGGGGTTACTCACTAATAAGGATCTTCCCATGTTTGCCCTGTTCCAGTTTACAAGACACTTTCAAATCTATTATCTTATCATGAGCATTATATCCAACATGTGAGATTAGCAAGTTAAAGAGTTTATCACTTTTGAGAGGTTAAACCTCGGGAAACAGAAGTCTGCAGAGTTTTACAGAGAGAGTGGCCCAGTGACTGTAGGGACACAGACCCTTTTTAGAAAGGGAGAGATAAAGCAGCATTAAAAAACAGGAAGTGAGCACTCTTATTTCTAGTTTAGATTCTATTATATTAAACTCTAGGAACTGACATGCTGAAGCTGAGAGGAAGGGCTACTCACAAGTAATCTGAAAGGTTTTCTTTGCTGGTTTCAGTCTTCAGTTAAGTTCTGCCCAATTTATAATTAACTAGCTGAATTGCTTCAAAATGAATTAATTTCTGAATATAAAATGATGGATATTGATTAAGGGAATCTTGGAAAAGTAAAAAAAAAAGCATGAATAATAAAATAAAAATCACCAATCATTGCACTAAAATAGGAAAACCAGTTTCCATCTTCCATAAGTTATTTTTATCATTTCCTATACCTCTATGCATAATTTTCCTTATAAAAATAAAACCACACTTTGCCTATATGCTGTTATATAACTTTTTTCACTTAATAATACATCATGATTTTATGTCATTACATCTTCAAAATATTTTAAATTATTACATAATTTCTTATAGCCTACTATAATGCTTTTTGTATATCTGTATATATACACCAAGCATTTGTATTTATGTTTGAATTTTTTTTTTGTACCAGGGATTGAACACAGGGGTGTTTAACTACTGAGACAAATCCCCAGCCCTTTTTAAATATATTTTATTTAAAGACAGGGTCTTGCTAAGTTTCTTAGGACCTTACTAAGCTATTGAGGCTTTGAACTTGTGATCCTTCTGCTTCAGCCTCCCAGGCCACTGGGATTACAGATGTGTACCACCATATCTGGCTGTTTGAGAAGTTTTTAAAATGAGCCTGGTGAGTACAAATCTGCACTAAAGGGAGGCAGTGTGTCTATTTTTTCAAATGCCTACTTAATGTCCCTTGACGTTTTCTAAACTTTTGTTCAATTATATTATTTTATCTATTTAAAAAGTCATATCAAGTTCTAAGGAAAAGGCACATTCATGATCATTATACCAAAGAAATGATTCCATGTATAAATGCACATGACTTCAAAACAATTTTTAAAGGCTGGGCGCAGTGATGTATGCCTGTAATCCCAGCGGCTTGGGAGGCTGAGGCAGGAGGATCAAAAGTTCAAAGCCAGCCTCAGCAACTTAGTGAGGCTCTAAGCAACTCAGCAAAACCTTGTCTCAAAAAAAGGGCTGGGGATTGGCTCAGTGGTTAAGTGCCCCTGAGTTCAATCCCTGGTACCAATAATAATAAGAATAATAATCAGTAAAGAGTTTCATCTTTGTCTTCATCTCAGGTACCCAGTGAGTAACGCAGGCCTCACTCAACCTGCTCCAAGTAGCATACAAAGGTATGTAAGTAGAGGATTTAAGAACAGCAATGATGGCTCAGGAATCATTCTAAAACTTTAGAATTTAGCATTTAACCACTAGCTCAAGGTTCCCATAGTAATTCCTGTTCCATTTAGTGGGACTCCAAATTGATTTTTAAGGAACTTTTCTCTAATAAGAGAAATTCCTGAGACATTACTTCTTCCTAAATAATTCTAAGAGAAGATCAAGTTGTAATTATCATGTTCAGTGTTCTAGAACTATGTTCTAGCATTAAGTTACAGAATGCCTAAATTAAAGATCCTTAAAAGGAATGAAGCAGAGCTGTATTACTTACCCTGGAACATAATGTGGAGTGAAAACTCTTGTTATACAATATGGCATATATAGTATCACTTCACCCAATTTAAAAGAAATGGAGGAAAAATAGACAGACATATAAAGAGAGACCACTAAAAGTTTTATTGGGTTCGGGTCTAGGTTGTGGGATCCTTAGTGATTTTTGCTTTTGTTTTGTGTGTGTGTGTGTGTGTGTGTGTGTGTGTGTGTTTTCTATAGTATTAGTTTTCTGTGTGAGAATGTTCTATATTTATAGTCATAAAAATAATGAAGTTATTTGCATTTTGAAAAAGCACACATATACAAGACACAAAATTAGAAGAAATCCCAGAGAACCTTGAGTCCACTTAACTGATGAATAGAAAAATAAAAAGGGCAACCTGCTCACAGGCCAAGGCTCCTGAGTCCCAGTTTGTCCTTTATTTCATGTGTCTCCTATCTTTTCTTTTTTCTTTTTTAATAATTAAGTAGAAACTAGCCTTTGTGATAGATGGGCAGCTAACCTGCATGTTCTGAGTGGCCCCAGGCCAACCCCACCCAACAGGGACTGGTCCAATCTTGCCTACAATGTGCATGCTCCTCAGGTAGGTTAACAATCAAAGCCTCTGATACAAAGGTCATCTGGAGAGAGTATCCTATTGAGCAATTATCTGCCATTTGAAATAACATACTGAATTGGCTAGCCAGATGAGTAACTGACCAGCTAGAAACCGGGACACAGCCCAAGTATATTTGAAATGCTTAAAGCAGAATTGATACAGCAAGAGGGCAAGAATGCTGGTGTGTTGCCAGGGAACTGCAGGATTCCTAACAAACCAACCAGCTCAGAAAGGAAAGAGGTCTACTCAGGAGACTGTTATTTCACAATGCCTGCTGAAGTCTGAGCAATTTCTAGGGCAAAAACTGCACATATGCAGTCTCTTTACTTCAATTAAGTCTAGTGGAGCTGAAATCATTGATTAAACTTCTAAGTTAAATATGTGTCATGGCTACAGTTAGTTACTCAAAATCCAAATTACTCAGTGCTTGCTTAATGAAAGCCTCATCTATACATTAAAATTCTTCTCTGCAACTCTAGGGTAAGTGGTTGGCCATTCCTTGGAGTCTACCCAGGGTACTTTAAAACTCTCAGAGCTTATCAGGATTCTTTATAGGGTTGATCTTCTGTAGAAATACCCCCCCCCCAGGCTCAGTCCAAGTTCAACTCTATTAAACTTCAACTGCGCCTTTACTCCATCTCTCCACCCTTTCTCTTCGGTGTTCTCACTACCTTCAAGATACCCATACACTCTAAATCCAGATTTATATAATTTTGGCTGCAAAGAAATCCATCACATTTCAAGCTACACTGCCTCAGGGTGAGGCAACAAAACAGATTATACAAACTGAGCATGAAAACCAACTTTGTTGTCACATCGTCCTTCTGGGAAAGTAGGATATTCTGTCACCAAATGAAAAAAGCCAATCTGCTAAAACAAAGACTCTTTGCTCAAAGAGGAAGTCCAAGGGCACACTCAACTTCTTTTAAGTTTCAGTTTCTGTACCAACAGTAATTCCCGCCCTATCTAATTTCTAGATTAACTTTTAGGGAATACTATTAAAGCCACAAATGGAAAGAAATTCTCAAAAATGAAAGAAAAATAGAGAGCCTCAGAAATACAGCAGATTTAAGACTGTAACCATCTCAAAGCTGGGAACCAAGCTCCAAAGAGGCAACAGGTAATCACTTTGGCATCCATGTAAGGAGCCACATAAAGAACAGATTTTAAATGGCATCGGATTCAGTACTGAAAGAGAAATCCCCAAGGAACTTCTCATTATCCAGGCCAAGGTTTTTGAACATAGTCCTGACCCCTTTCCTGGGGCTTTGGATCTCCCCTCCCCACAATTTGCCTGCTGGAGTTCAACTAACAACCCCCAAGTCCCAAGGCCAGCACATTGAGAGGTTTATAAAGTGCCACAGGCCAGCAACACCCGCCCTTTGTGCTTATGCATTTAAAATGCACTTTCTCTAAAGGAAGCACTCTATTTTTTCCTCCTTTTTCCAAAGCCCCAGGCACTTCCATAAGCACAGAAAGGATGCCTGTGCTAGGGGCTCCAGCGAAGGCGACAGTGGCCACGATCCCAAGGGAGGGAGGATGTTTGCACTCGCTCATCCAGTTACCTTGGAGTCCGTCTTTCTCAGAGATGCTCCTGCATCCACCAGAAGCTGGCACACAGCCCGGTTCCGCTGGCAGGCAGCCTTATGCAGTGCAGTCTCACCCCTAAATCAAAGATGAAATGGGAAACACTCATAAAGGCGTTGGGGACAGGCTTGGGGGTGGAGGGGGGACAGAATGGTGAAGAGAATTATCCTACCCCCTACCATGCTGCTGCTGTCCTGTGCTCCTCAGCCTTTTCTCCTGAGGGCAGCTGAGATCAGGGCTGTGGGAAATTCCTGGGAAGGCGATCCAGGGGGTGTCTAAAACTTGACTTTCTCGTTGATTGACCATCATATCATATCTAGCTCCAGCCTCTTTTCTAAACATTATTGGTTTAACTAGGTTAATTATTTTTTTGTTTGTTAGTTTTTTTTAAATTTTCTATACTGCTTGACTTAGCATATGCTTGATGGCATTATCAAATAGTTCATAGCAGCACAATACACAATAGCTAGACTGTGGAACCAACCTAGATACCCTTCAATAGATGAATGGATAAAAAAAAATGTGGCATTTATACACAATGGAGTATTACTCTGCACTAAAAAATGACAAAATCATGGAATTTGCATGGAAATGGATGGCACTAGAGCAGATTATGCTAAGTGAAGCTAGCCAATCCCTAAAAAACAAATGCCAAATGTCATCTTTGATATAAGGAGAGCAACTAAGAACAGAATAGGGAGGAAGAGCATGAGAAGATCACCATTAAACAGAGATGAGAGCGGGGAGGGAAAGAGAGAGAGAAGGGAAATTGCATGGTAAAGGAAGGAGACCCTCATTGTTATACAAAATTACATATAAGAGGAAGTGAGGGGAAAGGGAAAAAAAACAAGAGAGAGAAATGAATTACAGTAGATGGGGTAGAGAGAGAAGATGGGAGGAGGAGGGGAGGGGGATAGTAGAGGATAGGAAGAGCAGCAGAATACAACAGACACTAGTGTGGCAGTATGTAAAAAAGTGGATGTGGAACCGATGTGAATCTGCAATATGTATACGGGGTAAAAATAGGAGTTCATAATCTGCTTGAATCAAATGTATAAAATATGACATGTCAAGAGCTTTGTAATATTTTGAACAACTAATAATAAAAAAATAAAAAATAAAATAAAAAGAATAATTGCATAGATTTGTCTGCACACCAAAATAATTCCCTCTGTGTCTCTGTTTGGGCAGAGCATGAAAGGTACTGGGTGGGGTGCCCAGGGAGCAGCATGAAAGGCCACCACTCTTCTGTGGCATCTCAGAATACTTGATTGACTCTACTTGGCCTTCAAAAGAAGATCTCCAGAAAACTTGACTTGAAAGAACCAGATTGGCCTCCACTCTGCTCAGGCCACTTTGGGTTCTGTGTGAGTGGCGGGCAGAAGGAGGGGCAGCCCCAGAGGGTATGTGGGAGGCTCAGTGAGACTTTCAGGGGCCCAAGATCTCCAAGCAGGAAGCAGGCCTAAGACCAGCCTCTGGGAGAGCATAGTGATAACTTGTTTCCATCTGTGAAAGGCAGTCTAGGGAGGAATAGATTCCCATTCTGAGTTCCACAGTAAAAAGATGCTTAGTGCCATAGAGTTTCGTTTAAAAAAAAAAATCAAATGCAACCCATAGAAAAGGCAAACTGGGGCTAGTGGCAGCAGAACTCACAACAGTGCCACAGGGACATGCTGTGTACCAGCTCTACAGAGCAATGGTGGCTTCTAGTAACTCACAGCTGAAACCCTGCCCCCTGGCCCTCCATTCTAGTCAATCCCACTTTTGCCCTCTACCTATTTAGCTGCTCATCAACTAATTCTCTCCAATCCCACTCATCTTTATTCTACCAGGTTTATACAGAGAGAGGTAAATGTATTTATTGACGATTCTCAGCAGTTCAAGATGCTCCCGTGTGAAAATATCTTGTTTCTAGGAAGCTCTCATTGATGACGAGCATTGTCTATGCATGTAGTCATGATGGCAAATCATCAATTTTTATCATAATTTTTTTTAATTCAGATTAGCCCTGCCTGCACAGTTATAAATACAGTTGATAGTGGACTTTTAATCAATGAAATTAAAATGACCTCATAGGCCTTATAGATTTTAGTCTTCTCCTAGAAATGTTCTGAAGAAAATAATCTAGACTAATGCAATGAAAGGCAACACTCACGTTTCACTGTCTGCCATGTCCAATAATTCAGAAGGTCCTAGACAAGAAGAAAGCAAGATGCCCATGAAAAATAAGCTCCAAACTAAACATTAACAGAGAAACTATAATCACAGAATGAAAATGCCATAGAAAGGTGAATTTTAAAGGAGTCATTTGGTGATAGGAATAATAAGACGAAAAGAAAACAAAGAAAAAAAGAATTCTTCTACCTCTTGATCACTGATCTCCCAATCAATCCCTTATCCTTCAGCCTGGAGCCCCCTTTCCTATACAAAGTCCCCTAAGACCCCACTGCACATATTGCATTAAACACCCTGCCTACATGACCTCTCTTTTCACATGCTGACCCTGTGGCTCATACTTGAGCTGGGAAGTACGACTTATCATCTAACTTGGGACCATCCAAGGTCAATGGGGATATGGCATTACTTCACTAAGCACGAGACTTGAGTAAGTATTTTCAAATTACCTACTGATTTGCCTCTCAATCTAGACTCCAATAAATTTGTGGAAGATTTAGCCAGTACTTTCCCCATCACTGTGTCCTTCTTAATACCCAACATAGAGCCCGGTGCCACGCCGATGCTTAAATATCTGGCTGAATGAATGAATAAACATGGCAGGAAGTACCTAATACAGTTTTAGGTACTGGGAATGTTACAATCCTTGGGATTTGTCTTTGTATTGGTGGAGATCACTATTATCGCAAATTAACTTACTTTGCATAATGTAAGAAATTTGGGGGGAAGACATTCTAAGTTTCTAACCATGAATTTGCCAAAGAAATGACTGTGATACCATTGAATTTCTAAGTTCTGTTCATCCCGGAGCTAAATCATCTTGACCTCATCGCTTTCACATCTACTCTTCACTGGAGCGAGGTGAATCTGTTTTTTTAAGGAACACTGGGGATGCTACACAGAGCCTCGGGCATGCTAGCTAGGTAAGCACTCTACTGCTGAGCCACATTGCAGCCTCCTCCTGGTTTCTCCCTCTCTCCTTCCCTTACTCCCTCCTCTTTTTACTTTTTGTTCTAGTTGACAAGTAGACTTCCTAACAGGTCTCTGCCTGGAATGTAACTGCATGAAGAAAGTGTTATTTAAAAATAAGATGGTCTTTTATCACCTGGATTTCCAAGTTTCCATCTATCATCTACTGTTCATTCCCAAGTATGTGATGAAGTTTACAGCCTTACGCTGGAAACAACCCTTCCTTCATTGGTTCTTTAAGTTTCATTTATTCATGTCGGCTGAACTCATAAGGGCACAACTGATTGTTTCTCGATCTGGGAGCTTGATCCCTGACTCTCCCTACCCACAACAGCCTTTCTTTTTCTAATTTCATACCCAAACCCAACACATTTCTCAAAGCCTTGTCTGGACAAGTTCCTCTGACGAGATGATCTGTGATCTCAGTACTCCCACGATGCTTCCTTGGTTCTACCCTGTATCTCAAATTTCCTTGTCAAATGTTATGCCTTATCTCATAAATTATTCTAAATCTCTTGAGGATCAAAATGCTTTTATTTTTTTTGTATCCACCATGTACCTTATATGAATCAGTCAACAAACATCTAACTCAATCATCTTTTTTAACGTTTGAGAATATTCTTTTTTTAGTGGTTCTTTTCATGAGAGATGACAGTCGAATCCATTTTGATATAATTACACAGCATGGAATATATCTTATTCTAATTGGAATCACAGTCTTATGGATGTACAAATGGTGGGATTCACTGTGGTGTACTTCTGTTCCTTACTTCTGTGATTCTGATGAAATAAGAATGATAATCCTTCTCCCTCCACCTCATACACACATCCAAAGCAGACTAGGCAGAGACTAGGACTGAGGCTCCTGGCACTGCCCCTCTTGGTTTAAACTCTCAGTTCCAACACATGCTAGATGTTGGACAAGTTCGTAATGCCTTGGTTGTCACACATGCAAAGCTGAATTAATATTAATCTCAAATGTTGTTGGGAGGTTTCCTGAGTCATTATGCATAACATGCATATAACAGTGTCCAGCCCACCATAAGCACCACTTAGAGTTTAGATAGTGATAACTGTCCTGTTCCCTGTCATACACAGCTGATCACATCAATCAAATGGGACATCAGTGTAGGAAGATGACACAGAGGACCATTCACTCCCACTGGCATTTGAAGCCACTCAAGCTCTAGGCCAGAGAACCAAGCACTCCACGCCTTTTCAGTTGCAGACAAGGCATCCTCCTTCTGAGGAGCTCCAGATACCTTCAGCAAACCTTTGAATCCTATCACTGTGGAAGGAACTCCAGGAACACAAACAGCCTGGCCACACCAGTAGCTAGTCCCCCATCATGACTGCTAATTGTACCCAACTGAGGCAACAGAGGCCTCTTTATGCAGCACCTCCTCCTTTAGGCAGCACTTCCTGTCAATCAGAGCTGCATCCACCATGGGTCCAGTGACCCCCAGGGTCCAAGCTTCTATGCATGGGAGGGAACATGAAATATTTTAATTCATTAGCAACAAGGGTTTGACAATCTAAGGGTGGGGACAAGGAAAAGAAGGGACATTGCGCCTCACCATATCTGAACAGGATAAAAACAGAATCATTAAAAGTGCAGCCAACTCAGTTATTCCAATGCTGATTTTCCAGTTTGTGCTTCTGGCATGCCTGTGGCCAGAGAAGAGGTATAGACACTGAAACAGACACTTGCTCTTAATTAACATCTAAAGAAACTCTAGTTAAAGGGTTGGGGTATGACTTGGAATGACTAATTTATTTAACCCCAAAGTCCTTTCTCCTTCCATTAACACAATACTGAAACTTTTTTTTTAACTTATTATTATTTTTTTAAGTGCGGGGATTAAACACAGTCCCCAGGGCCTGTGCATGCTAGGCAGGCACTCTACCATTGAGCCCCATCCCCAGCCCACTAGAACATTTTGTGCACTGGCAGGCAAATGACCAATGAAAAAAGGGAAAGGTGGCAGTCAGCTCATTACAGATGGCAGTGGGGAGCTGCTTTTAATAGCACAGGTACATTTTCTCATCATTTTGTGAGCCTGCTTTCAAAGGCCTATGTTTGCATTGTGCTAGCAAGAAGGGGGCTGCACAGTAAGCCACAAGAAGAGTGGCTGCCAGGTGTATCACAATACAAGGTGTGCCATCCCTCTTGGTTTGTTCTGCACTGACAAATAACCAGTTTAGAACCATGCTCTAAACTAGCCTGTACTGTTTAGTCACCTTGCTGCAAGATTTGAATGGGGTTGGTCAGAGAACTGGAACATAATAAACAAAGGTCACAAGAATTTTCTTGAAGGATAAAATGTATTAAAAAAAAATAGCACCTAAACCAGGTGTGGTAGCACACGCCTGTGATTCCAGTGGCTCAGGAGGCTGAGAAAGGAGGATTGCAAGTTCTAAGACAGCCTCAGCAATTTAGTAAGACCCTGTCTCAAAATAAAAAATGAAAAAGGGCTGGGGATATGGCTTAGTGGTCAAGTATCTCTGGGTTCAATCCCTGGTACCAAAAACAACAACAACAACAACAAAATAGGTCCTAAGATTTTTGGAAAGTTGGGTCTCACTAATTAAAAAGGACAAAAAAGAAAAAAAAGAGAAAAAAATTAAAGACTGATTTTCTTCAATTTATACAACAAGCACATGCAGCTCCTCTGCCTTCTGGTTATTTGTATCTCATGTCTTTTGCTAGAATAAGGAATCAAGAAGACATATGCATGAGTTTGGATTAATAACCTAACCTCATGATGCTTCTGTTTTTACCATCTGTCAAATGGAAATTAAATGTGCTAATACATTTAGCATCTAGCTCAATAAACTTTAGTGTAATGAGTGCTGTAGATTTTTTTTTTCCTCCAAAGTGTCTAGGACAATTAATTTTTTAAAATGAATGACTGTCATGTTTAAATCATACTAGATCCCAGACCACATGTTTCTCCTCAGAGAACTATTCATAATTGAAACATGGATTTAAAGGACTGGACCGTGTGGGAAATCGTCTGGAAAGTAAAGAACAATCTCGTAAGGGGACATATACATCAGTATGCAGGCCAAGTCCGAAGAACATGAAAGGAGGCAAAACTTCAAAATCTTTCAAAATGAGAAGCAAGCATGGTGGTAAGTGGTCCAGCTCTCCTAACTGCAAGGACTCAGTCCCTGGGCTCTTCCCTGAGCCACGCTGTTTCTTGCTGGTGCAACTCTGACTCTATCATCCATATTGCATTTGTGTTATATTCGACGTGCCTTTTGTACCATGCATTCTTTAATTTGCTTCCCACACCAATGCATCCAAATCCCCTTTGCTATTCCTTCCACCTCCCCATAGCCTCTCTCCCTTCCTCCCTCTCTCAGGACTCATTTCCCATTAGTCTCCCTGACACTGCCAGCAGACCATTCCAAATCCTCCTCTGCCCAGAGACAAAGGCTGCACAGATGTGGTGAGAGCTGGCACTGGGAATGCTAACCGCACTGTCATCCTGGCCCAGCAGGAAAGTGGTCGTTTCTCTCTGGGACCAGAGGCAGAAAAGGGGAGGGGGGGGGTGTTTAAAAAAAAAGAAAAAAGAAAGATTGAAGGCAGAAAAAGAGGGAAGACAAAATAACCCATTGAAATCAAAAAGGAAATGCATGAGTGAGATTTCTATCAGGAAAAACAGTGGGGGGCAATGGGGTAGGCCTGGGGAGAATAAAAACAAAAGAGCCAAATGCCCAGGGCGTAGTGGAACAAAACAACACAAAAGTCTCTTGGAGGGGTAAACTAGGGGGAGGGAGCCCGCGAAAATGATGGCTGAAAGGAGTTGAAAAGTGGGAACCACCATGGGGAATCTCAGCATCCTTAGCCTCTGCCCTGTCTCTGGAAAGGTTAGCTCTCTTCCTCCTGGGTTCTCTTTTCAACCCTCTAAATGCCCAGATTCCAGTTTTTCATAAAGGAAAGCTGCGCACTGTAAGTAGGAGAGAAGAAGGCCAAAGGAAGAGGCCCCATGTGGCTTTTTCAGAACAAACCACACATCTCACTTCCTGCGGTCCTCAGCCAGTTTGAAAGAGTCTAAGAAGAGAAATACACTGTGGATCCTCCTGTCAGGGAAGACAACCATCTCCCACGACTCTTGTTCAGCAGGTGTTTTCTTGATCCTGAACCACACTCCTTACCCTAAATGACCACTGAAGAAGCAGGCACAGCAGAGGGGGAGGTGCTTACAGCAGTAAGGGTGCCCCGAGCCTTGTACAAGCTGAGAGCCACATGTCACTTATGAACCTTGAAAGGGACCCACTGAATCCACGGGAAGCAAAGGCATCTTTTGTCAGGTCTTTCAACATATTTTGGATTTATAATATCTGAAGCTGCAGGAAAGACATGGGCCAGCATGGAACCAAATTGTAAAAAATAAAAAGAGATCCAGAGATTTGCTGCATTCAGGAACTAGGAGGAGTGTGTTCTCTGGATCTTTGGCATGGCATAAAGATTTCATTTATTTAGTTTTTTTTTTTTTTTTAATTTACATGGATTCAAACTGATCAGACTTACCTACTGCAAATCTGTTGCTTATTTTTAAATATGATACCATAGTCTGGTCAACAATCCTAAATGGCTTCTGGAAGCCCTTTAGAAAAGGCACTGCACTTTGGTTAGGCCAGGGTAATTCCAAAGTTATCATCAGTCCTAAGGAAAGACTATTTCAATCAGCAGAGATCCCATTAAAAGTGATTACAGAGTAGAGATAGGGTAAGGTTTTCATTTACTTGTTCCTGATTTCAAGAACGGGATAATTTAAAGGGGCTTCTATAATTTAAAAGAGATGAATGGTTCTGCGAAGGTAGTATTCAATTTCAAAATGCACAGGTTAATATACATTGTATCAGCAATAAAAGATGTTAAAAAAATGAGCATTTAGCTCTTGCAGAACCAGATAAATTTGACTACCAAAAGATTTCACATTCAAAATTTTAAAAAAATTTCACATTCCTATTCTTAAGTGAATAGAAATGACGAAATGGATGATTTTTTAAAAATTGGTAATGTGTATCAGATTGATAAAAATGCATTTCAACAAAGATCAACTGCAAATGAATTTTCATTACTTGACTATAATAGTAAAGTTCAAAAATACCATCTACCAAAAATGTCGTGATTCTTGGACTGCCAATTGGAAGATTTAAGTTCAATCAGAAGAGATCTATTTACTTCACTATCTCCAGTCTTTCTCCTGGGCATCTCCTAACCCACTGGAGATTCTGATGAGTCAGGAAATATCTGAGACCTCTGGAACTCTTTCCTGTGAATGAAGTTAGATAATGACTGGGAATCTTGAGTCTTTTTTCTTTTTCTCTTGAGCATAAACATTAAACCAATTAACAAACTCTAACCAAAGCACTAATCTGCTACTATCTATAATCTGAATTTGGGTGCCAATTAAGTAGGCCACATGTTCACTATCAGCTCTCAAAGTCTTCCAGGATCTCAGTGGACCTTATGTCCTCAGACACATTGAGCTTCCACATCTTCTCCTTTCAATTAGCCTAGCCAAGCAGACCCCACCCACAACACCCTGCCCACCCCCAACTCCCCCTTTTTCCTGTTCTTTATTCCTAGAAATACTGTAAACATGAGAAACTAACATAACAATAGAGACTTGATACTCACCGTCTTTATTAATGCTTCTAACAAGCTCTTAGAGACAGGTGCTCTAGGCCAAATCCAGCAGAGGATCTAACACCAAATTATTCCTCAAAATCCCAGTTAGAAAATGCTCTGGGAGGTGAGTATGGCTGGCCACAGAGGACAAAGGAGTACCAGGCGTTTCAAGGAAAATAAAGCATGACTTAAAAAGATGAATGGGATTCCAACAGAAGAAACTGAGAAACTACAAAGATCTTTTTTAAAAAAAATCAGAGTCATAAATTCTCAGAATGATCAACTACAAATATGGATTAGGTAGCTGATCCCAATCAGTTAATTTACAAAAAAAAAAAATTTAGAAAAATAAAACACATTATGCCAGACTGCATTTAATTTTGTCCTTTACTTTTTAAAAATTAATGATCCAATAATAGCCTATATGGGGCTCCATATGATGATGGCTTCTATTAATTGCTTGGTTAGGATGACCCACAACTATCAGTGATCTGTAAGCCTGGCTGCTTCAAATAAGCTGGAAGAGTCAGTTAAAATGGGATTAGCAGTCTTTCTCCCATTGTGAAGACAGCCTGGGTGAATGCCAATTTAGAAGATGCCTCTACTTCATGCAGGAGTGGTCTTTGGTAAGTTCTTGTGCCTACTCACCATGGTCCAGGATATATTTCACAATCTCCCCGTTGCCGGTTTTGGCTGCGTAGTGAAGCAGTGAACAGTGGTCTGGTCCCTGAATTAGCAGACTGCCTCCATTTTTATAGCTTTCTATTAGCTGAAAGGGAGAAGCATGGAAAGAGGCTCAGGTAGAATCCAGAACAAGAACAGCTAAGTCCTCATAAAATAAGACTCACGTAGCAACCTCCAAATGTTTCTAGCCTCAGAGGACATAGAAAAAAGTCAAAGAGATGAAGTGGATTTTTGGACTGTGATATTACTCACATAGATGGCTGGTGTCTCACCTGGCTCTGGTGAAGGTCTGTGGTATTCAATGGTCCAAGGAAACTGAAACTTTCTCAATTACTGTTCTCCTTCCTCTTCTAAACTCTAGTCTCTGTCCCATGGGAGTGAGGGGTAAAGACAGCAAAAACTTCCCTTCCCTAGGTTGGCTCAGCACTCTTTCAAGGGAGAGAATAGTTATTGCTATAAGCAGAAAGAGAGCATGGCCGATAGTTAAGCTGCTTTCCTGTGTGCTTTAGCTTTTCTTCAATCTAAAGAAGCTGACTACCAAATAGAAGAGCCGCTTCTCATTTTCCTGAAGACAAGCATTTACACGCACACATGCATACACCACTGTGTATGGCTCCCTTGCTCATCCAGACCTCAGCCTGGCCTGGTGCCTTCTGAGGATCATCTAGTACATACCCCAAAAGGCTAGAGATGATCCATGGGATGAAAACGGAAATGATGAAGAGAAGGATGTATTTAGTTCTGTGGGAGGAAAGACTGGGAGTGGGGGGAAACAATTTGGCCGCCTGAGAATAAGGTGGCTACAGGAAGAGGTAGTCTAGGTTCATGAAGGATAGAATGCTGTAGAAAGTGCAAATAGGGTCCTGTTCTCCAAATGGCAGCATATTTGAACAAGAAGAGCTTTCGTGACATTTCTAAAGGGCAATTAGAAGGTCATAAGCAGGGAAAACAGAAACAAAGCTGAACCTGACTCAGTCATTGGTCTACAGGCCTTTCAGGCAACTCAGAAGACAGAGGTGTCAAGAATTATAGTGATAGAGGGGGATACTATGAGGATAGCAGAGGCCCACCAGGTGACCACAAAGCACTGGATACAAAAGGAGCCCTGCAATCCTGCCTAGAAAAATAGATGAAGAAGAATAGCTGAATGGAGGCCAAGGACTTGTGGGAATCCCCATCCCTAAACTGTAGGGCAAGAGGATGGGGAGAAGTAGCCAACATTCCTCTCATGACCCGACAGAATCCTGCTCTGCCCCAACTGCAAGGGCACCCTTTCCTTGGAGACAGATCCAGAAAGAATGGATGCAGTACAGACCCAACCAGATCCAGTTGCCCAGCAGCCTTGACCCTGTCTTTCTAAGGGCTTTTAGACACTGGGAATCTTTAGTGAGCCGTGGGCATCCTATGCAGCCCAGCTGTTTAGGAGCTGTATGACAGCCCTCCCCCTGAGCGGCTCCTGGGATCTTCTGTTCCCTAGTCCTTCTCTCCTTCTCTCTCCTAAAAATATGCACATACACACAACAACCAGTTTAATACTTAATTTGTACTGTACTTTCTATGCATAAGAGAGAAACAGAAAATTGAGAAGAATGAGAAAAAAGATACAAAAGAAAAAGACTAAAAAAGAAAAAAAAAAAACTTCAGCCACTGTATTTCATCTCTCTGTAAATAAGTTGTTATTAGGTTACTTTTTAGCCATCTAGGACATCATTATAATGTAGAATGCAGAAAGACATCCAGCTGGACATAGTGATTTTCTATATTTCAAATAGAAATATAGAAAATATTTTTGCCAATTACTGAAAATGTGTGGTGCTATCCAAGGACCTGGAATGTTGGCTGCCTACACTAAAAGCACACAGAAAATCAAATGAAAGGGTTTCGGATATAAGGTGCTTTGCAAAATGTCCCGCTGAGAGGTTCTCCAGGGGCGAGGATGCGCCTTGCTCTCCTCTTTACTTCCCACAGGGCCTACCAGAAGTCCTTGCAGAAGCATAGGATGGTGCTGGTCCACTGCTGGGAAAGGCAATGAACGCACAGGTACACTGCTCAGTGGGGCACTTCTCCCCTTGGTACCCATGGAGTGACACTATGATCTGGACAACAGCACGGGTAATACCATTTTCATAATTATGTGCCCACACATGACAATTGGCCAATAGGTTTACAACCTTCTATTACTCTGATAGTAACCTGTTGATATAAAAATGTCGTACAGGTAGGCCTTGATTTATCTGATATATACTTTAAAAAACAATGGTGGTGCTTCTCAGTTTTCTTCTAAGGCATATGGCTAGTCAATCTGACCTGGAACTTTCCTACTCTGCTGATGGGTAAGGCACAGCCTCCACTCTATACATACAGCAGGTCAGTGCTGCTGATGTTACACAGGGACATATGATATGGGTCCCCATGCCTGAAAATGATATGAGACCAGATAGACATTTTAGAACACTCATAGACTACATTATACAAGACATGTTTTTATCCCCACCATTTTTAGCTGTTAAAAAAATGATAAACACTGTAAAATGAGAAAATAGCTAACATTTTTTGAGCCCTTTCTATATAATACAGACCATCATGACAATATTACTTGCATGATAACATTCAATCCTCATAGCAAACCAAAAAAAGGGGCCATATTATTGTCCTGTTTTATGGATAAAGAAATTGAGGCACAGAGGGAATTCAATAATGGCTCAAAACCCCACGAGTAATGGGGGCCAAGTAAAGTAGGGCCAAGATCTGAACTCAGGCAGGCAGCCTGACTTCAGAATTTATAGTCCCTCCCAAGGCAGCAGTGACCATTTCCTTCCTGAGAACTAAATTCACCAGAAAAAAAATGGGCACAAATAAGATGTTCAAAATGGACCAGTTGATCTTTAGGCTAAGAATGATCCACAAAGCATCAAACTATAACAACGGAAGATGTGTCACAGGGGTCACTCCCAGAGAATGCATTTGTGGGTATTGCCCAAGTTATTCTTTAAAACGTATTCATTTCAATATCTGTCTGAAAAGAAATCCTTTACTTTCTCAAATGTCAGCTTCTACAGAGCAGGAACTCTGGGCACTGTGGCCCTGTCCCTGGGTGGATGGTTCATTGTAATGAGTTCAGGCAAATCCCAGGGCATTTTCCCATAGACCCTCTGCTGTTGGGAATGAAGAGAGACTATGAGGGCTCCCCTCTCTCTGTGCTCTGTTCTCAACAATATCCTTCCTCCTTCTCAGCCAATGCAGGCAGCGGGGAGATAATCCATAAGCAGGATCTTGAAAATTTGGTGAACAATATCATTTTTTGAAAATTCTTAATGAATCACCTAATTTGCAAAGAGAGATATCTTACCTTCATAAGATCACCAGCTATTACTGCCTGCAAAATTGCTGTGAAAGACAAAACAGAGATGTCGATTAGTAGAAGGCCTTCTCTTTAAAATCCTACAGAAGGTTGGGTGCATATTTTGAAAGGGCAGTCTCTGGTAGTCTATGGGGAGAACCTAGAGAAGGAGAAGCATCCCGAAGGCTGAAACTTAGTCAAACAGATGAAGGTCCTCTCTTTCAGCCCTTCCCTGCCCAGGCACCAATCCCATGCATCATTCTAGAGCCCTTAGGAGTCCCGCTCCAGTCCCGGTCCAGCAAAGATGGCATGAAATTTAGAGTTTCACGGACTGGATTCAAATCTTAGCTCTGACACCAAGGAGCTGCGGAACAGTGGGTGAATTATTTTAACCACCTGAGCCTCAGTTTCCACAAATGCAAAGGAGAAAGTCTTAACTTTATGGGAGGCTAAAAGGATTCATGAAGCCCTACTAACTAGCCACAGGTGCCAAGGAAGTGTCTAATCATGACTGTGGCTAGTCCCTTATTTCTAGTTCCTTCTCCTTAGCTCTTTTGAAGTTGAAGTAATCACCTGTCATTTTGATTATATATTTCATAATGATAAAAACTCACTGCTATAGATAGTAAGATGATTAGAGGAAACCATTCTATTTTAATTGTGTCTAATGATTTATGCACATCATGTGGGGTATGGAAAGGAAATAAGAAAACATGATTGACAAAAGCAGAAAACTATATGTGTGTCTGATGATAATTATCATTCTTAAAAGAAACCATTTACACCAGGATGGATATGGTCCTTTTAGGTAAATAATATATCAATTATGAAACTACTAAAAAGATAGATTTTCAGGTTTTGAAGTCACAAAATTTTATAAGAAAAATAATGTAAATTTATTTTGCAAAGTGATATTTTATTCTTCTTGCTTGAGTACTTTCTCAGGTAGAGTTAACCAAAAGTGAAGTACTATGCAACGAAGTACATGAAGCCGTGGCTGCTGCTGAGCAAAGTCCGAGGCTTTTCTATGGCTCACTGTCGACTCCTGGGTGAGTAGATGCAAAGGTCCATGTGAAACTCACTCAGGGGCACAGGACTGAGCATCTGTCTTTAGTGGAAGCCTTGATAAATTTGGTGATGAGGAGGGCAAGTTGAAAATAGATAGAAGGAGGATGCATGGAAGACAATGGAAAACCCATCTGAAACCATCTGAGGGTTTCTTTCCATATTCCTATAAATTCAGCACATGGCAGATGTGAACCAATTAGCTGCTGAATTGACTGAAAAGAAAGCAAAGAAAGGAAAGGAGTGGGAAGGGAGAGATGTGAAAATAATACAGAAGGAAGAAGATAGGTCAAAAGAACTTGGGGCTGGGATTGTGGCTCAGCAGTAGAGTGCTTGCCTAGCATGGGCAGGACCCGGGTTCGATTCTTAGCACCACATAAAAATAAAGGCATTGTGTTGTGTCCATCTACAAAAAAGATTAAAAAAAAGAAAGAAGAACCTAAGAAACATCCTGTCTCACTCTTTGTTTTATAAGTGGAGACATTGGCAATCTGAAGTTAAGTGACTCTCTTGGGGCACAGAGCAAGTAGAGGCCTAGTCAGCATCACCAAGCAGGCCCCTGTCCAGTGTCCCATGAAACTCACTGTGCACAGAGCCCTGCTAGTCTCTGCGGAAGGTATGTAGAAGGTGGCAAAAAATGCTGCTGTGAGGTTTGTAGCATTGTGGGGAAAAGTGCTTGACTCAGGTCTAATTCTGACTCTGTAATTTACTGGGCCCATAAATTTAAGAAGTGATTCAGTCTTTGAGCCAATTTGTTCATTAACAGGTATATTGCTCACCTCCCTGTCAAGGATCAAAGTTTAAAAAGTGCTTTATGGGATGGTTGTATAGACAGAAGACACGATTCTCAGTAACTGCTGTGACTGCACCCAAGTACGTGGAAAAAGACATGGACATTTTAGAAGGAGCCTTCCATCAAGGTAAAGTTGGCACGTGAAGTTGGGCAGACGTAACTCTGTTAACATAGCACCAGGCAGAGGACAAGCACAGATAGAGGAGCCGGGATGGAGCTTAACTTCAAGATATAAAGAAAGTCTACATCCGAGCTCGGGGAAGAAGAGGGGGGGGGTAGTGTTAGCAGTCATAGATCTGGGGGAACAAATCAAATGGACCTTCAGGCTGCAGGATGTTCTCTTGGTTGCAGGAGAATATTCAGAGTGTGAAGGAAATAAAGGCAGGGAAATGGCACAGGGGAACAGTTAATGTACC